ACCTTATCGTTTACCTTATCTATTTTGATTATTATCGAAGATATTAATATTTGTAAGATTATTTAATTTGGTGCAAGAAAGTAGAGTACGTTCAGTAATTATTGAAAGACATCCATACATCCGACAACCCTCCTATGTCTTCGAGCCATTAGCTACTTATTTTTAGCTCCGGTTTTTTCTTTCTTTGTAGCGAATATTCATTTCAGTCCTTATTTTTCCAGACCATGTGTTGCAATTAGTAGTGCTGTGACGACCAAATTACGAACTCACCACATTGTTTTGCATAGCAATTAGTTTTGTTGACCCAAATCTGAATGAAAATCGATATGAAAAATAAACATGCTTAACATCCGGAGTATGACTTCGGAGTACTAATGGCTCAATATGTTTAGTTTTGTTATAGATGGGGGGGGGGGGGGGGGGGGAGGAAGCAGGTACGCAACCGAAGATTGATTCCCAATTATTTGGCCTGCAATAAATGGAAATATGTACCTTTTGATTATGGTTATGGTTAGGTGAGAGTTAGATATAGGTAATAGGGTTAGGGTTAGATTTACGGTTGCATTAATTTTGAGTAAATCTTTAGAATCAGAATGTAAAATATTCTGTGATAGATGTGTTCATGTAATGTGGAAGAAAATCAGTCCGAAAAAACATGCAATATTGTTGTAATTTAATCTTTTGCACAGAGTAGACTCCCCTTGTGCACGATATCAGTTCTGTTTAAACTATCCAATGCATATCCATGGTAACAGTATCATGGAACACAGATAACATCATAATATTGATTTAAACATGGTAGTGCGGGCATGTGCGCGTTGCTATAGCTTCCCACTCGAAATAAGAATTTCATGTACTCTCTTATTAAACGCGGAGAGCGAAGAAGACATGATAATATGATCCTTCTTTGAGTCGTATCACTTCCTTTGGCGGCGAATCCGCTTCAAATTAAAGCAAAAACCCCTTCAAAGTAGTGGTTGAATTAATCTTTTAAGAAAATATTCCACTATTTGAGCATGATTTTTTACTCCAAACGAGGCGATCACCAATATAATAATTCCCCAAAACTGGATTCCCACTGCTGTACTCTAAATAGAGATTGGTAAATATTGATCATATTATTAGTTGAAAGGGAACATGCATGTGTGTTGGTGGGAAAAGAGACCCAATATAATATAATATAAAAATGTACATATTCTCTTTCTTACTCAACATGGCTAAAGTTTACCCAACTCTTTTTTTGTAGTGTGTACATTTAGAAGAAAGAAACATCCCTTCTTTTCGGATATTCCTTCTGCTAAGGAGACGGATATTGACCAATTCTCAACCTCCCTGGGAAATTACCACGTTCTTATAATTGACACATCAATAAAATCGTTAAAAACCAAGATCACGTGCCCTAGATCAGTGAAAGGGACATTTCTGAATTGAGAACAAGTCATCGAGTTCAATCATTATCATCATCACCACCACCACTTTTTTTGTAATTATCATTTTGACATTTGACTGCATCGCGTCTAACATGGAACTGTGTGATGGCAAAGTTATCAGCCAAGGAGAAATTGCAAACATTTCGACTGAGAAAATTGTCAATCGTGAAATGCAATAAGCGGGAGTGTTGCCTAATGAAAGTTATCAAGACATTTTTTGTATTTCTAAAAGTTATTAGAATCGCCCTGAATAAAAAAAGGGAAATTTTGGCGTAACCATCTCCAAAACAAGAAAAGAAAAAGAATCTGGTGACCTACAAATGCGACTTATTTTCTTTCATCGTATGTGATAAAGTGGTGCACCTCATTAATGCGAAATTGTATTTAATTTCAACTACATTTATAAATAAAAATATAGGCTAAACATATAAACCGAAGGAGAATGTGTCTGATAAGTAATGCCTAGTTTATGCCTGGATTACATTTGGCCTGTGATTAGTCTACGGAGCCCGTATCCTGCCCGTATCCGCTTTTCCGTGCGGCCGTGGGATTTTCGTGCGGATTCACTGGCTCTGCGGCCTCTACGATTTTGTTTCGCGGGAAGTTATACAAATTCGAAAAATCGTAAGCCTGTAGACTTGTCGTAGGTGGCATTGCACAATCCCCACACGGGCATCGCGCAGAGGCCTTAACCTGATCGTGCAGCAAACGCACGATTTTCGGTAAGCATGCATGGGGGCAAAAAAACGCTGAAAAACGGCAAGGCGGCTGCACGGTCGCTACGCCTTCTCCGCGCAACCTCTGTACGAAAGCTACACGAGCTACGTACGATTCTCGTGCGGAGGTTGCTTATACTGCACGGGTGCTGCGCTGAAATTGCGCGATTCCGTACAATCTTCCAAGCAGCCTCTGTACGGATTTGCCCCGGTCTGCCGACAAGGGCCAATGTAGAAGTGGCCCGATGCTCGTAGATAATGTTAACACAAACATCTTAGCCCATAGCCTCCTATATGATGCCCCCAAATCGCACGAAAAATCGTAGACCAATTTATCGTATGGCGCCCAGGGCAATGTAATCCAGGCGTAATTACTTCTGTGAATCGTTTCATAGCGACTTATTAGTAGAGTATATGCCAGAAAATCAAGAAGATAAGTTGGGTGTTTAATGAGATCGTCCTAAAGGACTCAATCAGATGATATGTGAGGTTATAGGCTTATCATTCGTACACAAAGAAAGCAGTTTTTAAAAATGATGCTTAAAGAATCTATGTATGCGTTTATTGTAATTAGGCATAATGGTGCACGGTGCGCCTGACTCTGTTCCGAACAAAAATTGATTGATTGATTGATTGATTGATTTTTATTCGACAAGCTTCCAACATACAACAATATACAATAATAACAGATCAAAAATAAGTCAGCTTGAACAGGATAACCCACGAAAGCTCGAGAGCTTATTTCCAGTGGGGTCCCTTACAGACATGTATCAAATTAATAAGTTAAAATAGTAATATTTACAAAAAGATCAGAAAATTAAAAGAACTACTTATTAAAGATAATAATAATAATAACAACATTAAACTGATGATAGAAATGATATTAAGTACAAAAATAAAAAGAAGAAGGAGAAGAAGAAAAAGAGGAAAGGGAAGAAGAGGAAAATAATGATGAATTTGTAGAATTTCTATAGCGTACGAAAACATAAGTATATACAACATGAAAAAGTATGAACCGACAGAAGAATAAAAATTTCAATCATATAACATGTCATTCACTTCTCTTCTCTGACTGTCAAGTATTATGTATTCCTTTAATTTCCTCTTAAAATGATCATAGTTTCCTATTTCTTTTACACCATTGGGAAGGGAATTCCAATAACGAATTTCCAATACTACCTACTCTTTCTGGTAAGTTAAAGTTGAATCGGCTATTTCTTGTATTATAATCATGTACGTCAGTAACAAGATCGAAGTTGGATCGAATATAATGATTCGACCTAGTATGATATATTTTATGCACGTGATGCAATATGAGTTGTTTTGATCTTTGGTCGACTTCAAGAAAACCAGCTTTAGAAAGTTCGCTGTAGCCAACATGAGTTCTTGGACCAGAACAGTTGATAAATCTCACCATTTTGTTCTGTATAATCTTCAGCTTCTTTTATTCTGACTTGTTTATGTTACTATACCATGCAGGGTTAGCATAGTCAAATAAACATTCAATAAGAGCAAAACAGAGTGTACGTCTTGCTTTTAAATCCATACAACTTTGATATCTGTACAAAAATTTCAGACGAGAATTTGCTTTTTTTACAACTGATTCTACTAAAGATGAAAATAAAATTGCGCTAGCCAACTCAATGCCTAAATACTTCACAGACTCTTTTCTCTTGATTGCTTGATTATTGTGTGTCACTTTGAATTCAAATGACTTTTTAGAACTACTTTTAGAACAAAATGAAATGCTTTCTGTTTTTCCCAAGTGTAAAGAAAGCTTTTTATCAGTCATCCAATCGACACACGTAGACAGCTGTTCACTGAGCTTTTCCTCAATATATGTAGGATCAGGATTTGAATAGAGTAGTACGCTGTCATCTGCGTACAATAATAGTTTGAAGTCTGTTATACAAATACACATATCATTTATATAACTTGAAAATAGAATTGGGCCTAAAATGCTCTCCTGAGGAACACCGCATGTTATAGGCATTAGTTTGGAACGAATATCATGAATGGCCACTACTTGGTGTCGATTAGATAAGTAGGATCTGAACCAATCTAAACTTGCCTTATCAAAACCCATTAGTTGTAACTTCTTCAATAAGACGCAATGATTAACTGTATCAAAAGCTTTTTGCAGATCAAGGAACACCATACCAACAAAGCGCCCTTGGGAAGTTTCTGTCCTCAAATAATCAGTCAAATAAATTAGACATGTTTCAGTCGAATAATCATGTCGAAAACCAGATTGAAATTCATAAATTATATCATTTTCTTTGAAGTATCTTTCAATTTGAACACAGACCGATTTTTCTAGAATCTTTGATGCTACGTTTAAAACACTAATAGGTCTATAGTTGCTAAAAACAGTTTTATCTTTCTTTTTATAAAGTGGAGTCACTTTTGCTATTTTCATATCCTCTGGAAAAGTACTCGTCAAGATAGATAGGTTCATTAAGTAACTTAGAGGCTTAAATAAAACCTTCGCACCATCTTTTAGAAATTTAGCTGGAATCAAGTCTAACCCAGTACTTTTTGATACATTCAACTTACGTAACTCTTTGCAAACAAATTGTTCACTGATTGGTAATAACTCGAAGCTGTTTTCACGCTGTAAAACTCACGAATACAATCATTGTCTGCGCTGAAAAGAAAGACGGCGCCTACAGCACTCGAAATATTGAATTTGCACATAGATTTAAAAAGAAATCATGTTGTTGTGTTGTGTTTTGCTTTAATTCGGTCTAATCGTCGACGTAAGTGTGGTAGCAGGTAATTTTCGATTGATGTCAGTTGCTCTAGAATCAGGCCTTTTTGTAGCCAGTTTGACCCAACACGCACATCTAAAAACCAGGCCTAGCTGTCGAGCAAATGCCCGCCGAAAATCCATGTTTCTTGCCGCATAAATCATCGGGTTCATTGCACTATTCGAGAAGGCGATTTTGAAACAGATGAGTTCGTAGATGTACACCTCGTCCCGATGGACGTCGGGGACGATGACGTCAATGATGGTCATAAACGATGCCGGCAGCCATCCGATGACGAAGAGGCCGAAAACGAACATGATCGTTACGGCGGCTTTCAAGTCTTTTTTGAGCGTTGTCCCGTACTTGGCCCGAGCGAATGCTTTTGTTTCAAGAACGCGCTCGAGCGCGGCTATCCGACGTCGATGACTACGGGCGACGCGGTAGATGCGAAAATACCAATAGGACATCAGCGTAAGCGGCACACACATGATGAGCAGGACTGTCAAGAGACGATAGCTCTTGTCCTGGATGAAGAGGAGATCGCAGGCGGTGTCGTCGAATTCGTGAACGTTATTCCACGCGAAAGCGGAGGAGCTAATCACCAGGGTTATCAACCAAACGCCGGCGATAAAACATGCTACCCGACCGTTCGTCATCGTCTGCTGGTAGGTGAATGGCGATGTGATGGCGAGAAATCGATCAAAGGCGACCACGGTGATGTGCAAGATGGTGAGAAACACCATGGTGGCGATTACGGCGCTCAAGGACAAGCAGGCCCACGGCGAGACATCGGGCATGAACCCCAATCCGGCGATGATATCGAGAGGTATGCAGATGATAGCCAGCAGGAAATCGACCACGGCTAGACTGGCCAGGAAGATGTTGTTCTGAGAGCGAAGTGAGGGCGTCCTGGCGACACTGAGTATAACCAGTGTATTGCCAATCAGTATGACCACGGCTATTACAATATCAAAGACAAAGAAGCCTATGATTTGGCTTTGGGCTAGGCACAGGTAACCGGCACATCTGAGCTCTGGTCTGGTTGTAGAGCTGACCAAAACTTCCGAAGGCATGTTACTGAAACGTTGTTGACAACCGGAGTCAACGCATTCATCCATAAGCTGAGAGGATTGAGAGGACATATCGAATTGTGAAGGTTTTGTCTGATAATTTCAATTCCATCAAGCGACGAACATTTGGAGAGATATGATCGGGTGGTCCATCTCAAAACTGTAAATGAGTCACCGAATTGTCGTTCTAGATAATCCGCATTCTCCAAATAGGCAGTAAGGTTTTTTATTTGTTTTGGTTTTTTAATCGTAAAAGTCTTTTTTTTTAAATCACTAATAATGTGCATGACGTAAACGGGCGGGTTCGATAACAATGATGTTTTGATGTCGCAAATGTTTTCAATTAAGTGATGACATGACATTTTACTTGTATCAAGGCAACACTGAAACCCGCCAAGGGCGAACTGATCGTCTTCATTAGAAGTCGACGTCTTGTATAGATTTCTCACCCTCCGTTTATTACACACTTGAATATTAAGCCTGTACAAATGGAGCAATGAAGTTGTAACAAATTAGGAAAACTCGTTTGACGGATGGAGACCACTGTGTAACTGGAGTAGCATGGAATCGAACAAGTGTTTTCGGTTTGCGAAAAAGCTTGATTATCGATGGTTTCTGATGATATATTGCACTGACGTGCGATGAGCGTGTGACTGTTTGAAGGGGAGTGGTGGTGGTGGTGGTGGTGGTGGAGACGAGAGATTGGGACTGGATAAAGGAGGAAGGATAAAGATAGGAGATAGAAGAGAGAGAGAGAGAGAGAGAGAGAGGAGGGTAGTGGGGTAGGGAGAGAGAGGGAGAGAGAGAGAGAGAGAGAGAAAGGGAGAGTGCGGGTAAGAAAAGAAAAAGGGGAATAAAGAGAATGAGGATAAGGTAAAAGGGAGAGGTGGAAGACTGAGATAATAATCTGAATATATTTATATACCGCTTAATGCGAAATATCATCGCTAAGCGCTTAACAGATATCATAACCTTGGTTATCGGATTCATTCACGCACAATGTGCACCATCTTCACTCCATGGGGAGTGTTCCTACCATAGCACAAAGCTGTTTGGAACCAGCAACTTTGACAACTTGGCCAGTATATTATGACGCCACAGTTCGGTACTCTGTTGTAGCCAGAATATTGATATGAATCAGTATCATAACAACATTCATCCGATGTTACAAGTCACCGCACTATATGATAGCGAAAACTATAGTGATATTTATGTTGGTGCCTTACGGTACTTTACACATCCGTGCTCCCATTACCCTGTTCACAGAACTAGAACTATGGATCCATAACTGGATATTATGATGGGGTCGAACTTATTAGAACATCATTAATTGGTGTTACAACGTAATTACAACGCTATGCAAGCGAAATATACAGACTGTGATTGAAACAATTAACAGCAGAAGCAGAATCCGTAAAATAGGACTTTTAGATTCGCACGAAGACAATTATGTCTATGCTACGATCGACGTCCTTTTAATGCACTGCCTTGAATGGACGTCACACGTATCAGTCCACGCAAATCTAAAAGTCCCTAATGATAAATGATCAGCAATGTGAAGTCACAATCGGTAGTCGTGGTGATAATATCATTAAACTTTTAAAGCTCACGGTTTACTTACTATTTAATCGCGTTGAGTCCCTGACTCTGAAGGTATCTGAAGTGACTGTACCTTTTTTCGAGATCATTAATCAGTCCAATATGCGGCTATCGTGAGTATAACGAGGTGGGAGAAATGTCTCAAATGCCGATTAATTACCAATTGCCAGACAGAGTTGGTCATTACCACAAAAGCAAAGCGCTAGACTGGGACCTGATAGTTAGTTTAATCACGTGAAAGGTAATTTGTATTCATGCAGGTAGAGACTGTTTGAAGGGTTCAAATTTTGAACAGATAACGACCTCACTATTTTCTTTATTTGATGATTTTGTTTTAAAATACTAAACTTCCTGGGGTTGGAGAAAGAACCAGGGGGGAGATATCCATTTTGAACACGGTATGGAAGGGCTTCTCCAATGGCAGATCAAGGGTTTCTTTTAAAGGAGGGGGGGGGGTAATGAATAATAATAATAATAATATTCCGCTTTTATATAGCGCTTAATGCATCTACGATGTCTCTAAGCGCTTTAAAAATATAATTTTGTTACCCTGGTCATGGGATTCAATGCTTGCCCGCACACACTGTGTGCACAATCTCCACTGTCTGGGGAGTATACCAGCCAGGCGTTACTTGACGCTCAAAAACTGTTTGACCAACAATGACGGTCGCGTCCTACCGGGTATCCATTTAAAACCTGGGCGGAGAGTAACAAATGCAGTTTAACATCTTGCCAGGATATTGGTGCCATGTCGGGATTCGAACCATCGACCTTTTGTTTAATAAGATACATCACGATGATTTTAAAAGGGAGTGCCTAGGCTGGAACAACCACCCCTCCCAAATCCTCCAGGTTTCACCTTTAACAATATTTTATATTCTGTATAATTATTGTCCGGTATATCGGAGGTGAGCCCTGGTATATCTTAGAGTAAATTGGTGAGTCTACAGACCATTCCTTGTCTCCATTTAAAGATACTATGTCCCTTTTGCAGCCAACATCAAATTATGTAGAACTTTGCAGGAACTATCAATATGTCACGTATGTCCTATCTATGAAACTTAAACGTTAGCAGTGTCCTAGTATTCAAATTATGCAAGGAAACCCGTTTACTTTCTAGATTCCCCTGTCAGACAATATTGAGTGACTTTTCTTTGGTAATAACATACATGAAATTGAGCTGTAACAGGTACATGAGCATATGTCCACATTAATAACCCACTACTTGTAATGGCCAAAATGAAACTGATCGAATCTTTGTGCAGAACAAAACGTACGACCACTCGGTACAAGGATCTGAACGTATTTCCGGTAGAGTCAATTGTCATTCAATAAAAGTTTAACAGTTATTATGTAGTTTGTAATGTCAATGAGCCAATGATTCACATATATTATGCATTATTATTAACCACCTCTCAACATATCCTTCTATAGAAATATATTTGTTATTTCAATCTGATATGAGCAGACCGCATGAAATAATTGAAAGTCGTAATTGTTCTCTATCGTAGCAACAATGTTTCGTTCGTCACGATTGTTATCAAAGGATAACGAAATATAGTTTTAAACATAGATATATCATCCTAAAAATCGTTTATGCAAAGACCCACTTTTATATAAATGTATTGATAAGCCAGCATGTTAGATGATAAAGCTACAATATTCATTGATTTGTAGTTATGTAATGCATATAACTTTAATATCCATAAATTACTCCATAATATTTTGTCAACAATTTGATATCGTAAGTTTCTAGTTATCAGAACATCATGCTAAAGAGCTCGAACCTTAGGTTACTTTAGAAACAAATAACAATTTTTTGTTTATTTGTTTGATGTTGATTATGTTCCTTTTTGTTTGTTTGATAAAACACTAACATTATTAATTGATTGCTGATACGATACAAGAAAAAGATTTAATCGGAAGAAGTCGTTGCTAAGGTCATTTTCAATATGAAAATGCATAGTCAATAATGAGATGCATGATTCTTATAATTCGACCTTGACCGTAGTTGGATTACAAAACATGATAAATATTGTTTTTCCTCCTCGTTTCTTTTAATTTGTTTTTAATTATCATTTACAACTACTTGTATAAAGGTAGTTACTGTAAAGCGCATTTGAACATGTATAAGGAAATGGGTTATGTAAAATATATATTTATCATGAGCATTTAAAAACTTATTGAATTACCTTTTCTATCAAGTGTTTATCAATTATTTACCGCACTCTCTGACGTAGTTTACTTTTCACGTTTTGTTCCCGAATAGGTGGCAAAATAATTGCTACTGTTGTCTAGGTGATTTATGGCAAAGTGTGAGGTTACATGCTCATCATACGTACACAAAGAAAACCATTTTTTGAAAAAGATGTTTATTGAATCAATTTTTATATTGTAATCAGGCATAACGGTGCACAATGCGCTTGACACTTGCCTTTTCACCACTGTTCCCATCACAAATTAAAGAAAGACGTCGCATACCTCAGTCGAAAAATTAAATCTGCACATAGATTTAATAAGAAATCATTATGTTGCGTTGTGTTTTGCTTTAATTCAGTCTAACCGTCGACGAAAGTGTGGCAGCAGACACTTCTCGATTGATGTCACTTGCTCTAGAATCAGGCCTTTTTGAAGCCACTTTGGTCCAACACGCACACCTGAAGACCAGGCCTAGCTGTCGAGCAAATGCCCGCCGAAAATCCATGCTCCTCGCCGCATAAATCATCGGGTTCATTGCACTATTCGAGAAGGCGATTTTGAAACAGATGAGCTCGTAGACGTATATCTCGTCTAGACGGACGTCGGGGACGATGACGTCAATGATGGTCATAAACGATGCCGGCAGCCATCCGATGATGAAGAGGCCGAAAACGAGCATAAGCGTGACGGCGGCTTTCAAGTCTTTTTTGAGCGTTGTAGCGTATTTGGCCCGAGCGAATGCTTTTGTTTCAAGAACGCGCTCGAGCGCGGCTATCCGACGTCGATGACTACGGGCGACGCGGTAGATGCGAAAGTACCAATAGGACATCAGCGTAAGCGATACAAACATGATGAGCACGACGAGCATGATACGATGTCCCTTACTCAGGATGTAGAGGAGATCGCAGGCGGTGTAGTAGAATTCATGAACGTTATTCCACGCGAAAGCGGTGGAGCTAAGCACCAGGGTAATCAACCAAATGCCGGCGATAAAACATGCTACCCGACCGTTCGTCATCGTCTGCTGGTACGTGAACGGTGACGTGATGGCGAGAAAGCGATCAAAGGCGACCACGGTAATGTGCAAGATGGTGAGAATCACCATGGTGGTGATGACGGCGCTCACGGACAAGCAGGCCCACGGCGAGACGTCGGGCTTGAACCCCAATCCGACGATGATGTCGAGAGGTATGCAGATGGTAGCGAGCAGGAAATCGACCACGGCTAGACTGGCCAGGAAGATGTTGTTCTGAGAGCGTAGTGAGGGCGTCCTGGCGACACTGAGTATAACCAGTGTATTGCCAATCAGTATGACCACAGCTATTACAATATCAAAGACAAAGACGCCTATGATTTGGCTTTGGGTTAGGCACAGGTAACCGGCACATCTGAGCTCTGGTCTTGTTGTAGAGCTGACCAAAACTTCCGAAGGCATGTTACTGAAACGTTGTTGACAACCAGAGTCAACGCATTCATCCATAAGTTGAGAGGATTGAGAGGACATATCGAATTGTGAAGGTTTTGTCTGATAATTTCAATTCCATCAAGCGACGAACATTTGGAGAGATATGATCGGGTGGTCCTTCTCAAAGCTGGAAATGAGTCACCGAATTGTCGTTCTAGATAAACAGCATTCTCCAAATAGGCAGTAAGGTTTTATTTGTTTTGGTTTTTTAATCGTAAAAAATCGTTAAAATCAATAATAATGTGCATGACGTAAATGACGATGGTTTCTGATGATATATTGCACTGACGTGCGATGGGCGTGTGACTGTTTGAAGGGGAGTGGTGGTGGTGGTGGTGGTGATGGAGACGAGAGATAGGGGTGGGTAAAGGAGGAAGGATAAAGAAGGGAGATAGAAGAGAGAGAGAGAGAGAGGGGGGGGGGGTAGTGGGGTAGAGAGAGAAAGAGAAAGAGAGAGTGCGGGTAAGAAAAGAAAAAGGGGAATAAAGAGAATGAGGATTAGGTAAAAGGGAGAGATGGAAGACTGAGATAATAATCTGAATATATTTATATACCGCTTAATGCGAAATATCATCGCTGAGCGCTTAACAGATATCATAACCTTGGTTATCGGATTCATTCGCGCACAATGTGCACCATCTTCACTCCATGGTGAGTGTTCCTACCATAGCACAAAGCTGTTTGGAACCAGCAACTTTGACAACTTGACCAGTATGATATGACGCCACAGTTCGGTACTCTGTTATAGCCAGAATATTGATATGAATCATTATCATAACAACATTCATCCGATGTTACAAGTCACCGCACTTTATGATAGCGAAAACTATAGTGATATTTCTGTTGGTGCCTTACGGTACTTTACACAAACGTGCCACCATTTCCAGTTTGTTGGCTCAGTCAGTAGAGCGTCCGCATCACAAGCGGGAGGTCGTGGGTTCGAAATCCCGGCCGCGTCATACCAAAAGACGTTAAAAGACGGGAGTTGCTGCTACCTTGTTTGGCGTTCAACAATAAGGGGATAGAGTAACGTCGATCTGGCGCTGCTCAGTGGCTGCCGGGCTCACGATCAATTGGGCAAAAAGAATTTCCATTTTCGGTTTAATAAACTTTTAAGTGGAGTAAAAGATTATTATTATTATTATTACCCTGTTTACAGAACTAGAACTATGGATCCACAACTGGTTTATAACGTATTGCGTTCCTTATCTGTTCTGAATGTTATGATGGGTCGAACTCATTAAAACATCATTAATTTGTGTTACAACGCAATTGGTCAAGCGAACAGTACAGACCGTGATAGAAAGAACAACATAAGCAGCAGAATCCGCAAAATGATAAATAGTCAGCCGTCTGAAGTCACAATCGGTAGTCGTAGTGATATAGCATTAAACCATTATAGCTCACGGCTTTACTGTTTAATCGCATTGATTCCCTGACTTTGAAGGTATCTGAAGTGGCTGTACCTTTCCTCGAGATCATTAATCAATCCAATATGCGGCTATCGTGAGTATAACGAGGTGGGAGAAATGTCTCAAATGCCGATTAATTACCAATTGCCGGACAGAGTTGGTCATTACCACAAAAACAAAGCGCTAGACTGGGACCTGATAGTTAGTTTAATTACGTGAAAGGTGATTTGTATTCATGCAGGTAGAGACTGTTTGAAGGGTTCAAATTTTGAACAGATAACGACCTCACTATTTTCTTTATCTGATGATTTTGTTTTAAAATACTAAACTTCCTGGGGTTCGAGAAAGAACCAGGGGGGAGATATCCATTTTGAACACGGTATGGAAGGGCTTCTCCAATGGCAGATCAAGGGTTTCTTTAAAGGAGGGGGGTAATGAATAATAATAATAATATTCCGCTTTTATATAGCGCTTAATGCATCTACGATGTCTCTAAGCGCTTTACAAATATACTTTTGTTACCCTGGTCATGGGATTCAATGCTTGCCCGCACCCACTGTGTGCACAATCTCCACTGTCTGGGGAGTATACCAGCCAGGCGTTACTTGACGCTCAAAAACTGTTTGACCAACAATGACGGTCGCGTCCTACCGGGTACCCATTTAACACCTGGGCGGAGAGTAACAAATGCAGTTTACCATCTTGCCAGGATATTGATGCCATGTCGGGATTCGAACCATCGACCTTTTGTTTATTAAGATACATCACGATGATTTTAAAAGGGAGTGCCTAGGCTGGAACAACCACCCCTCCCAAATCCTCCAGGTTTCACCTTTAACAATATTTTATATTCTGTATAATTATTGTCCGGTATATCGGAGGTGAGCCATAGCCATTGGTAATAACATACATGAAAATGAGCTGTAACAGGTACATGAGCATTTGTCTACATCAATAACCCACGTCTTGTAATGGCCAAAATTAAACTGATTGAATCTTTGTGCAGAACAAAACGTACGACCATTCGGTACAAGGGTCTGAAAATCAGCCGCCATCTACTGTCAAACATCGTTTATCCGGTAGAGTCAATTGTCATTCAATAAAAGTTTAAAAGTTATTATATAGTTTGTAATGAGCCAATGATTCACATAAAGTATGCATAATGACTAACCAACTCTCAACATATCCTTCTATAGAAACATATTTGTTATTTCAATCCGATATGAGCAGACCGCATAAAATAATTAAAAATCGTAAGCGAGAAGATTGTTGTTCTCTATCGTAGCAACAGTGTTTAATTCGTCATGATTACTATCAAATGATAAAGAAATGTTGTTTAATACGAAGATGTATCATTCTAAATCGTTAATGCCGAGACCCACTTTTATAGGAATGTATTGATAATATAGAGATCTGCTAGTTTGAGCATATAAAGCAGCCAGACCTCGAATATTAAATCCTGTCGAAATATCTTTTATATGCCGAATTGAACAAAAATCTACCAAGAATTCTTACCTTATCCTATTTATTGAGTAAAGATTGGTTAAAGCATCACGGAAAATCTGAGACACTGTCTGTTAATCTTAACTTGAAAAATGACTGAAAGTTTCAACCATTTGGGAATCGCAGACACAAAGCACTGTATGGTGTCCGCGCTCGCACACAGACTATTTTAACACGTAAACCAATGGGTATCGCAGCAAAGTTTTACTATTTTCATGGTAACCGGAATTTTGAGGGTTCTCACTCTTGGACAATTAACAGTTATTGGCATTTTTCGTTTCTTTACGGGAATGGCTAAGATCACGATTCATTTTCAACCAATCAGAGGGCTGGATTTCTAAAGTTAGGTATATAAACCAGCATATTTTAGATGATAAAGCTCAACATTCATTGATTTGCAATTATATTATGCATGTAACTGTAATACCCATAAATTACTCCATAATATTTTGTCAACAAATTAATATCGTACGTTTCTAGCCATCAGAACATCATGTTAAAGAGCTCAAACATTAGGTTACTTTAGAAACAAATAACAACTTTTTTTGTTCATTTGTTTGATGTTGTTGATGTTCCTTTTTGTTAGTTTGATAAAACACTATCATTATTTATTGCATTGCTAAAACTATACAACATAACAAAATTAATCGGAAGAAGCTGTTGCTAAGGTCATTGTCAATACGAAAATGCATTAATAATGAGATGCGTGATTCTTATAATTCGACCTTGACCGAAATTGCATTTCAAAACATGATAAAAAGTTGTTTTTCCTCCTCTTTTCTTTTAATTTGTTTTTAATAATAATTTACAACTACTGGTGTAAAGGTAATAACTGTAAAGCGCATTTGAACATGACTAAGGAAAATGGGTCATATAAAATATATTGTTATCATGATCATTTAAAAACTTATTGAATTACCTTTTCTATCAAGTGTTTATCACTTATTTACCACACTTTCTGACGTAGTTTACTTTTCACGTTTTGCTCCCGAATAGGTGGCAAAATAATTGCTACTGTTGTCTAGTGATTTATGGCAAAGTGTGAGGTAACATGCTCATCATACGTACACAAAGAAAACCATTTTTTGAAAAAGATGTTTAATGAATCAATGTTTGCATATATTGAAATCAGGCATAACGGTGCACAATGCGCTTGACTCTTGCCTTTTAACCACTGTTCACATCACAAATGAAAGAAAGACGTCGCATACTTCAGTCGAAATAATGAATCTGCACATACATTTAAAAGGAAATCATTATGACTATGTTGCTTTGTGTTTTGCTTTAATTCAGTCTAATCGTCGACGAAAGTGTGGTAGCAGAAACTTCTCGATTGATGTCAGTTACTCTGGAATCGGGCCTTTTTGAAGTCAGTTTGGTCCAACATGCACACCTGAAAACCAGGCCTAGCTGTCGAGCAAATGCCCGCCGAAAATCCATGCTCCTCGCCGCATAAATCATCGGGTTAATTGCACTATTCGAGAAGGCGATTTTGAAACAGATGAGCTCGTAGATGTATATCTCGTCTAGACGGACGTCGGGGACGATGACGTCAATAATGGTCATAAACGATGCCGGCAGCCATCCGATGATGAAGAGGCCGAATACGAGCATAAGCGTGACGGCGGCTTTCAAGTCTTTTTTGAGCGTTGTAGCGTATTTGGCCCGAGCGAATGCTTTTGTTTCAAGAACGCGCTCGAGCGCGGCTATCCGACGTCGATGACTACGGGCGACGCGGTAGATGCGAAAGTACCAATAGGACATCAGCGTAAGCGGTACAAACATGATGAGCACGACGATCATGATACGATATCCCTTGCCCTGGATGTAGAGGAGATCGCAGGCGGTGTAGTAGAATTCATGAACGTTATTCCACGCGAAAGCGGTGGAGCTAAGCACCAAGGTTATCAACCAAATGCCAGCGATAAAACATGCTACCCGACCGTTCGTCATCGTCTGCTGGTACGTGAACGGCGATGTGATGGCGAGAAATCGATCAAAGGCGACCACGGTGATGTGCAAGATGGTGAGAAACACCATGGTGCCGATGACGGCGCTCAAGGTTAAGCAGGCCCACGGCGAGACGTCGGGCTTGAACCCCAATCCGACGACGATGTCGAGAGGTATGCAGATGGTAGCGAGCAGGAAATCGACGACGGCTAGACTGGCTAGAAAGATGTTGTTCTGAGAGCGAAGTGAGGGCGTCCTGGCGACACTGAGTATGACCAGTGTATTGCCAATCAGTATGACCACAGCTATTACAATATCAAAGACAAAGAAGCCTATGATTTGGCTTTCGGTTAGGCACAGGTAACCGACACATCTGGGCTCTGGCCTTGTTGTAGAGCTGACCAAAACTTCAGAAGCCATGTTGGGGACTGCTGAAGTCATGTAACTGAAACGTTGTTGATACCCAGAGTTAACGCATTCATCCACAGGCTGAGAGGATTTAATGAAGAGTTATAAACGCGTACCATTTAAACAAAATTCCATGCAATCCCTCACAGTCTATTCCAGAAAACTTCGTATTAAACAAGAAAATTGACTAAAATTAATGTTGAATAAAAGCCGCTTATAAATCCATCACATGTAAATTGAATCCTCAAATCCTTATTTCTAGATACATGTAGGCTACACTCTGAGGCGAACAATGTTAATCACATTAAAATCCAAGGCAAAAAGAGCATATACGATGAAACACCAATGTCCTAGATAGATGCTTGAGGTTATTGATAATACTTGGCATATCCAACATATCAAGATGTGAAGGTCTTGTCTCATAATTTCAATTCCATCAAGCGGCCAACATTTTGAAGAGATATGATCGGGCGGTCCTTCTCAAAGCTGTTAATGAGTTACCAAATTCAAGTTGCACCATTAATTCTCGCTACCCCAAATAGCGATTCTGCCGAGATCCGGGGAAAATCCTGAAAACGCGCATTGCATTATGGGATAGCTTTTCGACATTACAGCTTCCTGTGCAGGCGGCGCGATAGCGCAAACGTAAAACGCCGTCGCCACACAACGTGTATGCACCGAGTATGTCGTCTGCTCGGTCTTGTTTTTTTTTCGCAAATATTTCAACGTTTATTTGAACATTTCATTCGTTGTTTTTTGCGTCTTTTGACATCAGTGACGATGGTTTTCTTTTGTGAGGCTGCACAGTGCTGGGCTCATGATTCCAAGCGTAAGAACCCTGAAAAATGGGGGTGGATGAAGGCCGTGACTTGGGATGGGACTCTATACCGGAAGTTGTAGTGACGACCCGAGAGAGTGAAAATTACCTCGTCTCGCGAATTTCGAGATTTTCGTACCTATTTAGGGTAGCGAGAATTGATAAAGCGATCCCGCAGGTACCAGGTACGGAAACAAAAAATCCGAGCAATTCTTGACAACATGATTGTATGTACCTCATCTGTTGTATGAAGCTGTAATGAATGAAGAAAATCTCTTCTGGCGGATGCAGCTCACTGTGTAACTGGAGCAGCATGAGATCGGACAATAGTTCGCGAATGATGAGCTTTGATTGGTTTTTGATGATGAATAATATTGCACTGACGTGCGATGAGCGTGTGAATGTTTGACGGGAAGTGGTGGTGGTGGAGATGGGGAGTGGGTAATGAAGGGAGAATAGAGAAGTGAAAGAGGAGAGAGAGCGAGAGAGAGAGGGAGAAGAGAGAGAGAGGGGAGAGGGAGGGAGAGAAAGGGAGGAGAGAGGGAGAGAGGGAGGGGAGGAGAGAGAGAGAGGGAAAGAGGTGTAAGACAAAAAGAGGGGAATAAAGAGAATGAGAATTTTGTAAAAGGGAGAGATGGAAGACAGTGTGATAATATTATTATGTGGTTTATAATAGCGCTTGATACGAAATACCGTCGCTTAGCGCTTTACAGATTTTGTTACCTCTGTTATCGAATTTATTCACGCACAATGTGCAACATCTCCACTCCATGTTGCGTATTCCTATCATATCGTCACGTTGAGGGCATATGGAAATTACTAACACAAAGGCTTTCTTCATCGTACCATGTCCCTATCTCTCTCTCTTGGTATGAAGTGGCACGTGTATATTAATGCACTGGCAAACGACATTGCACTACAGAGTGAATTCCAATATAATTATTGACAAGGCGCTTAAAAATATAATATGGAAACCCAGCATGGATGAGACAAAGAGCGAAGAACAGAATAAGAACTCAGACCCCCCCCCCCCCCACATAAAAAAGGAGAAGTTAAAAATAGAGTAGTCCTTCCTTTTGTTAACACTATATCCTCTCGCTTGAAACGAGCGTTCCAAGACAAGGATATTAGTGTTGCATTCAGAAGCCCTAATTTGGTCCATCCAAAAGACCAAATTCCAAGAGAGGAAAAGACAAGCATTGTGTAAAGATTACTTGCACAGATTGTAACAATTCATAATTATGTTGGGGAAACTGGCAAAACTTAAATGAGCGATTAAAAGAACACAAAAGAGCCCTTTGATTGAGCTACCCATCCCATTTAGCTTTAGGTGAACACGCCCTCAACTCCAGGACATAATATTGGATGGGATGATGCCCTTATTATTGACTTTGAAAGCAACTTCTGGTCAAGAAAGGTGAAAGAGTAGATATGGATTAAGAGGATTAAGCCTACACTAAACAGGGACTCTGGATACTTATTGTCACCTATCTTTGGTCCAGTGCTCGCAAGATACCATGCAGGCGGCGCAGCTAAGAAAACGTGTGACTGGAAACTTAGCTTGAGAAAGTCCACATAAGTGGACGGAAGCTTGCGCAACAAAACCCAAGGTTGGTAGAAGCTTCAAAAACTACATTTTATGATCATCCCCGACCAATGACAGTTTTCTGTATCAGACATTAGTATCGTGTCGAGGATCAAACCCACAGGCCCGAATTCACAAAGGAGGTTTGTCGATAAACCTAGGTTTATGTGCGTTTCGACGCATTTTAACATGGTTTGTAAAAACTCGTCGAAACGCGTCATATGACGCACATAAACCTAGGTTTATCGACAAACCTCCTTTGTGAATTCGGGCCACAACCTTTGTATTTAAACCACTCGACTACGTCACCTCTAGATAGAGTCAGAGAGAGGGACAAGGGGGTACACGGAGAAATGGGGACTGACTCACGGAGAGAGAGAGAGAGAGAGAGAGAGAGAGAGAGAGAGAGAGACAGACAGACTGAGAGAGAGAGGGAAAGCGAGAGAGTGATGATATAGACGGGGGAGAGAGAGAGAAATAGATAGAGAGAGAGAGAGAGAAAGTGAGAGGGTGGTAGGGAGGAGAGAGAGATGGCATGAAAGTGCAATATTGGTTAATAATATCACGCTAATTTGTGAGCCCTTCGAGTTATGACTTGCCGCATTTTCAATTAACGGTATATAATCAAGTATATAAGCAAATTATCTTTCCTTCACGAATTATTTTTAGTTACGGAAGTGGCTCGAGTGACGTACACTGTCGCTCATTATAGTTGGAATATTTTTGTTTTACCCCAATTTATGGAATTATTTAAAAAATAATTTAAAAATAATAGATCTAGATAATAGTATACATTCTCAGATTGTATTGAATGATACTTTGCCAATGTGTGTTCTGTGTGACTGCTAAAGCATGTGTATGCTACTATGCTTATCAACTAAGGGACCTACGCCCTTAAGTCATAAATGACAGTAATTTTATTTTATTTATTTTATTCATACATATTTATACAGGTACACAAGATCAGAAATAAATCTGTTTTACATATTGGACCTGGTATTAAAAGCATAGTATAAAAAGTAGTAAAAATGAGAATTCAGTATTCAGAATTCAAGTATAACAAAGTAAAATACAGAATAAATACAAAGTAATGAGGATTAATGCCCCACAAAAGGGCACTAATATAGCACATCGACACGGTTTTGATCCTGGGGCCTCACAGTTACGTGGCCATTGCTTTAGACTGTACGCAGCGGGGGCTAGGGTAGGGGGCAGTTCCCCCCCCCCCAAAAAAAAAAACGCCGGCCAAAATAGAGAGTAGAGAAAAAAAGGGAGAGGACGTAGGAAGAAAAAGTAGCAGACAAAAAAACATTTTTGAAATACAGACAAGAATTAAGACTCGAAAACGGTACAACGAATCGTCTTCTTTCTCTAATTATTTAATGAAACGTCAAAGCTTCTGCGCTTCGCGCAGGAGGTGGGGGGGGGGGGGTTACTGAATTGCGACAAGGATTAAGAGTCGAGAACGGTAATACGATTCGTCTTCTTTCTCTAATGTTTTAATGAAACGTAAGGGGGGGGGGTAAACAGAATTCAGAAGAGGATTATTTTCGAGAACGGTACAACGAATCGTCTTCTTTCTTTAAAAACTTTAATGAAACGTCAAAGCTTTCGCGCTTCGCGGGGGGGGGGGTGAATTCAGACGAGGATTATTTTCGAGAACGGTACAACGAATCGTCTTGTTTCTCTAATAATTAAATGAAATATCAAAGCTTCTACGCTTCGCCCAGGCGGTGGGGGCACTGAATTTAGACAAGGATTAAGAGTCGAGAACGGTACAACGAATCGTCTTCTTTCTCTAATGATTTAATGAAACGTCAAAGCTTCAGCACTTCGCGCGGGAGGGGGAAAACTGTTTTCAGACGAAGATTATTTTCGAGAACGGTACAACGAATCGTCTTGATTCTCTAATAATTAAATGAAATATCAAAGCTTCCACGCTTCGCCTAGGCGGTGGGGGCACTGAATTTAGACAAGGATTAAGTCGAGAATGGTACAACGAATCGTCTTCTTTCTCTAATGATTTAATGAAACGTCAAAGCTTCAGCACTTCGCGCGGGAGGGGGAAAACTGTATTCAGACGAAGATTATTTTCGAGAACGGTACAACGAATCGTCTTCTTTCTCTAATAATTTAAAGAAACGTCAAAGCTTCCGCACTTCGCGGAGGAGGGAGGGGGACATCGCCCATCCCTGTAGCACCCCCTCCCCCAATTACGTCAATGCTGGTCACCTTTACGTACCAATATTTGGCTCGCATAATTTCAAATTTGGCCCCCCCCCCCAAGAAATCCTGGATCCGCGCCTATTGGTAACATTGCCTCAGATTCTGAAAAAAAATCCTGGATTTAGCTCATGCTGCAAATATAAATATAAACCTTTAGGTCAGTCAGTCAGGAATCCCATGACTTTTACAAGCCGATAGCCTGTCTGATTATCAAGATATTTTTGATTGGAAATCGACACTTTGTTTTGCGTTCCCTAACGGTTTGTATAACACCACAGTCTATTGGGGAAAATTAGTATGGCAAAAGCGGGCACTCAAAGATTTTTTCCTTTTTTAAGGCACTTCTAATCATTTTAAATAGCTTTGATTTTTAATTCAAATCATTTTTTTAGCTTCAATATTACACCATATCACAGATACTGATAACACGTAGGGCCATGCATCTCAGATTTAACATCGTTAAACAATGCCTTTAATTAAGTCATGATAGTTTGTTGTCGGTTATGGCGGGGTGACTTGGCATTATAGTTTTTGAAAATGTGCATATAAATCAATTTCCATTAATACCGAGAGGCCTGTGGGCGGGGTGTACGTCATTCGTTCTGACGACAAGTCCTCTACGGTCAATACCAATTAATGAGGAACTGCACTACTTATAGCTACGTGCGCCCTCTAGATAGCAAACAATGCCTAAGCGGTATCCGTTGGTCCCCCATTATCCCCTTTTTCTATGTCAATTGAGAGCTGATTTGATGAGATAACCAACGGTCAGTGAACAGGCATGAAGGTCTAACCCATCCTGGCCAAACTAGTGCAGACAGGCTTCAACTGAATTCTTCGCTCTGGTCCAAAACACGACAAGGGTTTCATTAGGCCTGAAATTAAAGCAATTTTTTTATAGAAAACTATTCTCAAAGAAAGCAGGAAACCATAGAAACAGACTGGTGCAAGTTTGAAATAAATTGGACAAAAAATAAGAAGGTTATGAAAGTTTAAAAGTTGTGATCAATATACGTATGGGAACATCACATTGGCTGTATCAGTCATGTCACTGCATGTGAAGCAGTGCATTACAATTTCCCCATATGTTCCAAGTGATTAAAATTCTAATTTCAAAATGTGTGACTAAGGAGGGCCTTTACTCTTTAAAGGAACTATCATAATATTATGAAATGCATAATAAATTGTTATTAGTACCCCCAAAAAAAGGTACCTGTGGAATCCCCTTATAGGAAAACAATAAGAAATTGATGATATTTTTATACTATAGTACATAAATGTACAGTTTTGCTTCTTTCCTTGTTTACTTCAGAATCCACTGACCTATTTGCCAATAAGAGATTCGCGGAGGGACTACTACAGTTTTAAACGTTTTTCTTCAAGATGCCATTGAATGCTAAAATTATGTTAAGCACACCCTAAAATGAACCCTGTTTATTTCGAAGTCTCACCTCCATCTCTTTAATAAAGCACTTGATTGTTATGATGCTCGGAACGGACTCATACGTCACTTCAAATACTTTTCATATTTACGAAATGAATAATAACAGTATGATGATGACAACAACATATCCCGGTCAGTGGCGGATCCAGGGGGGCACAGGGGGCACGTGCCCCCCCCCCCCCCCGGCCAAAAAAAAAAGAAAAGGAGAAAAAGGAGGGGGAAAGAAAAAGGAGAGGAAAAAAGAAAAAAAATGGAAGAGAGAAAGAAGAAGAAAAGAGGGAGGAAAGAAAAGGGGAGAGGAGCAAAAGGAGGGGAAAGGGAAAGAGAGAGGAGAGAAAAGGCGGAAAAAGAAGAAAGGCGGAAAGACGGAGGAGAGAAAAGGGGGAAAAGGAGAATAATGAGAAGGGAAAAGAAAGAAAGGGGTATGATATTATAAGAAGCTGTTTTTTTTTTTACCGGGTAAGGGGCGGGGGGGGGGGGGGGCATGCAATTTTAAGTCGAACATGACTAATACCAACGATTTTTATCTCCTTTATAACTTCTAACTTATAACCTATAACTTAGTCTTGAATTAATTTTCCGATATACCTATTCTGAATGCTCTTTCAGCATGCATATTATCCCCGCCATTAATCCTGCCATAGTTGCTGGTTTCATTGTCATATTATTCTCTGTCATCCCTGTGGCCGCGAAGTTTCTATCCGTTTTGCAAGCACTTTTTTTCCATCGCCTACATGTAATGCTTATTGCTTCCAGTTTGCAAAAGATCCCAGTCGCGCATATGTGGGGGTGGGGGAGGGGTTAGGGGGTTTAACCCCCCCCCCCCCCCTTGGGCTGCCAAGTGAAAATGTGATGTGAATAGAAAAACGCCATCATGTATCCAGACCCACATAGTATCCGTATCGTCATCGGGTCAAACCCCCCTTAAACTGTTACTAGATTTAAAAAGACGCTATCGTGCACTTCTTTTTATGGTCTCCATTGTGTTAGTAGATGCCAGGAAAACATCACTTACGGGGGTTCAAAATAGCAACAACAAAAATCGCCTCGCCGCTACGCGGCTCGGACTTTGAGGCTCGTGGACGATGCTCCGCATCGTCATTGGGTCGAACCCCCATCAAACTGTTACTTGATTTAAAAAGACGTTATCATGAAATGCTGTTTATGGTCTCCATTGTGTTAGTAGATGCCAGGAAAATATCACTTACGGGGGTTCAAAATGGCACACCAAAGAATCGCCTCGCCGCTACGCGGCTCGTGGACAATGCTCTGCATCGTCTTTGGGTCGACCCCCCCCTTAAACTGTTACTTGATTTAAAAAGACGTAATTATCATGCACTGCTTTTTATGGTCTC